GTTTGTTTGGTTGAGAGTGACATTGGGAAGGTATGATAAGAAGTCGTTCTCGGGCAGTGAAGGACGGACAGACTGACTGACAGGCGGAGGGAGGAAGGAGGACTTAATATGGAAAGGTGGGTGGGGGGGGGAGTTAGTGAGCAAGGAAAATATAGGAGGATGGAAGGAGAGGGAGGTTAGGAGGATGGGAGGCCAGGTTTCTGTTTCTCCATAATCTAATCAGAGAAATGGCAGCAGTCAGAAATAGCCTGACGGACAGACTAAGAGCCTCTTCTCTTTCTCCTTCTCTCCTCCTTTTCTTGTCTTCCTCCTAGGGGAGGGTAAATGGATACACACACACACACACACACACGCGCGCGCGCACACACTTTGTATGCCAGCTTGACTTCCTAAAACCATAAATTGTAGATGTGTTTGAGGTTTTATAAGCGATGGGAAAAGCCTGGAGGTATCACAGCAGAACCTGATCTACTGTCCAGATGCAGCCACGTCTAAAGTTCTGTGCAAAACGTGTTCTGCCGCTCCTCCTCCTCCTTCCTCTGTGAGAGGGTTCTCTCACCATCATTATGGGGACAACATGGAGTCAACAGTCTTCAGTCTGCTTCCAAACTACAAACTGGTACAGTTAGTCCACCCACAGAGTTATAGCAGCGTTATTTTGCCAGTTTTATTTTGGGTCTTAAAATAGTTTCCTATATTGTGGATATTTTGATATATACAGCAGACATGGCAAAATATTAGCCTATTTGGCTTTTTAATCCGGCCCGTCAAAGTTGTCCAAAATATGTTATATATTATTATATTATTATTATAATACTTCCGCCTTTCCCCCTGCAATACCCACATTTACACGAAACGCGGCGTAGAAAAGGCTAAAAGCATGTTAGCCTTTATGCATGACTTTTACATGTAATTTATCTTAGTTCGCGTTAACTTTCTTTTTTTTTTTTTAATCACCTTTTCCCTTATGCTAAAACAGACACATTTCTGCCGTTTTGTGACTGCATACATTAGTTGTTTTTTTTTTAGCTAGCCCTAGGCTAGGCTAGGCTAACATAAATGTTTTTTTTTCGCAACACTGTCAACACGTTTTGGCTACTGAAACTTTGCTCGACATTCTATATATATTGCAGCTACGTCTTGACTTTCAAAGATTATTGATGGGATTAAATGCTTTAAAAATATTCAAGTCTGAAGAGTTTCAGTTTTGACCTGAGGAGAACGTGACCAACGACGAAACCACACCAACGAACGTCGAAAAAAATCACTTATCGACACATTTCGCTTATCACTTACGACTGAATTCAAGTTGTAGCTGTGAAGACGAACACTTTGCGAGTGCTATTATAAATAACGCAGGGTAAACAAGGGAAACATTTCCCTCCTCAGAGGGACCATCAGTGGATGCCAAGAGTGTGTTATTGTGTTGTTGGGGGGGGTCCAGGCGGAGCATCACAACAGTCAATGTGTCTTTTTCCCCTCGATGCTAATTTCTCCCTGTAGGACAGACATTCCTGCCTGGTGTGTGTGAGATGCTTCCACGTCGTCTCTGTGACAGTTCCGCGGTTCTCACACACACAAGAGGATTTCAATCACATTCCTCTGTCATGTTGTCTCACAAGGTGGACAAGCATTATTGTTGCAAATTTCCCACCCAGGCTCTGGACTCCCCCCACCCACCCCACCCCACTTGTCCGTCCATCCATCCATCAGGTGTCATTGAGACACAAAACAGAACTAACGCAGGAATTCTTTCTGGGGCTGATGACTTTATTTTAGACAACGGTTGCAGCAGTTACTGACGCAGATCCATTACATTTATTTGGCACATTGTCAACTCACTGTTCAAACATTTATGACACAACACATTTTTTTTTTTCTTCTTTTAACCATTACAGACGAAGCACGAAGCACCGGAGCAGATTTTCAATTTATTTTTATTTCACATGAACATGCATCAACAGAAAATACTCACAGAGCACTTTTATTTCCTCACAACTCACACTGACTGCTGCACATTCTCCATTCTCCGAGATATTAATGGTGATAATTAAACAGCTCTTATCGTCTGCAGACATTCGTCAGTGTAGTCTCTACCGGTGAGGGGGTTTCTCTGCATGTCACATGTGCATCTGAGTGTAGACACAGTCCATCTATTATATATTAAACTATGTAATATTATTCTATTCAATATTTCATGACCAATTTTTTTTTTTTTTTTTTGGACTCCAATTCCATCTTTGCCCAAAGTAGTTTCTAATGTTCCCAACTTTTTATTCAACATACCGTAATTTCCGGTCTATAAGCCGCTACTTTTTCCACACGCTTTGAACCCTGCGGCTAATTTATGGATTAAAAAGGGGCTAACAAATCATACCGCTAGCAATCAAGGATTTCTCTGGTAGACAACTATGGGTTATACTAGTAGCGTATGTCCAACTGTGAATGGCTGAGTACGTATATGTACCTGGGGCGCGTGCGTGAGAGAGAACGGTAGCGAAAGTTGAGAAGCCTGCGGACAAGCACAAAGTGAAGGGAGTTAGCCCCGGAGCTAACGTTAGCTTCAGTCCTGGAGCAGATCACTAGGTCTCCCCTGTGCACTCCAACTATGGTGGGGAATACGCAACAGGAAAGAGCTAACCTGTAACCAGTCGTGTTACAGGCACGGTTCGAAAAAACTGAAAAAAAAAATCTTTCTCTGTAAATATCCCCAAGTGGACACTATAGAGAAGTGCGGCCTATGTATGTACAATTATTTCTTTTTCTTTTTAAATTTAACGGGTACGGCCGGAATATACGGCAATAATATCTAAATATTTAGCCTATAGCTAGACTATGAGTGAGGTAACGGCTGAATGTGATTGGATAAAATATATTCTGTCGTTATTCTTCAAGCACATGTCATATGTTAATAGATTTGTGGAGTGACATTCTTCATAAATCTGTGGCCATACTGACGTGTGAAACAGTGATGAAGATGATGAGATGAGTCCTTTGTCCTGTTCAGTGTTCAGGGCTGATTGGTGGATGGATGTCCAGGGTTCTGGAAGAACTGTCCTCTCCCACCACCTCCAGACGCAGACCCAGTTTATTCTTCTGTTGCTCTGTTGCATCTGCCTGCACGGCCAAGCGCAGGGTGCAGCCTTTGGGCAGCAGCTCCTGCTCGTATGCCGCAGCCAACTGGTTGACGACCCGTCGCTCCACCTGGGGGTACGACAGAGGCGTATGATTATATTTTCACATGTTAAGAACATGTTGTTGATATAATGTTGCCCACTTTTTTTAGGATTCGTCTTTCTTTAATTAAAGTTATTTTCAGTTGTTGCCCACTTTTTAGGATTCTTCTTTCTTTAATTAAAGTTATTTTCAGTGAGTTAATATAAACGTATACTTTGGGAGTTTGTATTACATCACATGTCAAACTCAGGCGCGGGGACCAAATCTGGCCCACAATGTAATTCAATTTGGCCCTATATACTGGCAGGATTTGTAGTATTAGCGTAGTGTATGCTCACATCCAAAATGTAATAGCAATGGTCTGCGTTTTATTTTAAATTTAATTTAGCTTTGGTTGTTTCAGATTCAATGTTGAGGCAAAACTAAAGTTTGTTTCCATATGAAAAAAAAAATCTAAATTAACTATCTGGACAGAAGAGAAAACATGCACAATTACAGTCAACCATTTTTCAAATAAAATATTAAGTTTGTTTTTTTTTTTTTTGGGCGACTTTGTCCCAGTTTTTAATTTTGGCCCACCATGGCCTTGAGTTTGACACCCCTGCGCTCAAACCTCATGTTTGATGGAACGTGCTCCGTAGTGCATATTGTATCCTGCTGCCAACAGGTCCAGCACTGGACGATCCCACTGAAGAGTGATGTCATGCCGCTGTTTGGCCTAATGTAGAAGAAGAAGAAGAAGAAGAAAGGGGAAGGAGACAAGCGCAGGAGCACAGAGGAGGAGATATTGTCAAAAGACATGTGTGCCAGCGCTAATCAACAGCCTCTTAATGCATTTTAATCAAAGCCCGGTCAATAGGAGTGATCAGTGCCGCTCATTTAGCCACTGATGTTAACGCTTCACTCGATACCAGCGACGCCCGGGTCCTCCTCCTGAGGCATGTGTTCTCGTTTCGCGCCAATCTAATCTTTAGGTCAACTGAGAGTGAGACGAACACTTGATTAGTTTCTTATTAATACTTGGGTATAAAAAGCTGTTTGTCTCAATATCTGTCCACATGATAATGACATTAGATAAACCACCAACTGCGATCTCCCACAGGGAAAACGGCAGAGAAGACAGGTGATCTTAGGATTTCAAAAACAAGAAGAGAATCCCAAAATTGACGGACAAGAGGAAAGAGAGTCACGTGTCAGGTCTTCTCCAGGACCCGTGTCTGCCGCCTATGAAGCAGCTGTAATAATAATAATGGTTGGCTATTGATGAAGTCTTCACATGTTAAACACAGTAATCACATTACAGTGAGCAGCGCGGCCACGTGGTATTGATCGCTCGTGTTCCTGCTCAGCTCCCAGCTGCTGATCTGACAGAGATGGTGGATCATGGACTGTTAGAAACGCTCGGAGCTCTTGGAGATAAAGAAATGTAACTTCTGCATTTGACACAACCACGACACAGGGACACGGAGTCAGAGAGAGATTTTGTTTTTTTTGGTGCTTGCTCAACACACCACAGCCCGTACGGGAAATCACGCCAGCGATCATCTCTTTCATCGGTCAAATACAAAACACAAAACTACATTTTTCTGTCAAAGAAACCCTTTTTGTTTTGAGCAAAACCGGGTACAAATAAAAGTACCATAATTTCTGGACTATAAGTCGCACCAGCCAAAAAAAGAAAGAAAAAAAAAGTGCGACTTTCAGGAGTAGCAGATACTGGGACACAAGCCTAGAGGGCCCTCTAGCAGTTGTTGGCGTGAAAATAAGAAACGTGAAATTATATATTTTGATATATTAGTCGAAAAGCTAGCCAAAAGGATGAAAAAAAGGGCGACTTTCGGGAGTAGCAGATACTGGTACACAAGCCTAGAGTGCCCCCTAGCAGTTGTTGGTGTGAAAATAACAAACGAGGAATTATATATTTTGATATATTAGTCGCAAATCTAGCCAAAAGGATGAAAAAAAGTGCGACTTTCAGGAGTAGCAGATACTGGTACACAAGCCTAGAGTGCCCTCTAGCAGTTGTTGGTGTGGAAATCACAAACGTGAAATTATATATTTTGATATGTTAGTCGCAAACCTAGCCAAAAGGATGAAAAAAAGTGCAACTTTCAGAACAAAAAAATCCTAAATGTAACTGGTTCCCTCCTATAATCCTGATCTGTGATGTGATTGGCCAGTGCACACAGGCCCACTTACCTTCTTGGCCCAGAAGTTGAGCTCCTTGCTGACCAGCTGCAGCAGCTCCGAATGACAGAAAGGCAGGAAGTATACGATTTCATTGATCCGACCCAGAAACTCATCCCTTCGGAAATGAGCCTGAGAAGAAACGACGAAATCAACGATGACAGGTCGGACGGAAACTGCAGTATTTCAGCAGCGCGCGCTGTGAGTCAGTGCCGTCACTCGTTTATGTAACCGTGGTTGTCTTTTACCTTCAGGATTGGCTGAATCACCGCATCTTTAAACTGACGGGAGATTGTGATGTCTTCACTCTTCTGGACGTCCTCTGGAGAAAAGCAACACAGCATCAGTGATTCTTTTCCCTCAAAATGACCATATCTCAACAGGTGGCTGATACACTGATATACTGTATGTTGATACCAACACTGAATGTAGGGGGGGGAAAAAGCGAATTAAACTAGGATTAAAGTTTACTTCTGTTCTGCTTTCAAAGACAATAGTCTTCATAGTCTAAATAGTCTTCATTGAGTCAAAATGTTTTCTCACCAAGGTTGTCCGCCAGTTTTTTGCGGCTGATCTCCTCGGCTTCCTGCCGAAGCTGCAGCGCATGATGGGCGATTTTCTCGCTGGCGACGTTGGACGTCATAATGAAGATGGCGTCTTTGCACTCGATGGTCTTCCCCTTGCCATCTGTGAGACGACCCTGAAGAGAAAGAGAAACTCAAATGTAATCATCAGACATATATATAGAGAGAGAAATGAACATCTCTGTATATCTGTGTGCGTGTGTCGTTTCCACCCGGACCTCGTCGAAGAGCTGCAGCATGACGGTCAGGACGTCAGGGTGGGCTTTGTCCACCTCGTCAAACAGCACAACTGCATTGGGACAAGCCTTTAACAACTTGGTCAGCTGACCTCCTTCTTCATGTCCTACATAGCCCGGTGGAGAGCCAATGAACTTTGCTACCTGCGACGGAGGAGGAAACGTCGCAGATCAAGCCGGAATTATAATGTTATATCATGGTGTATTATTGATTCACAGGTGAATAAATGAGATGAGAGCAAAAAAACTACGGTATTTTCCGGACTATAAGTCGCACCCCCCCCTCGCAAATTATACTCAGGTGTGACTTATATTGAAACATGTAATGTCACGTTTGTTATTTTCACACTCACAGCCGCTAGAGGGCACTCTAGCTGGCTGGTGGGACTCGTACTCTGGAGCGACTTATAGTCCGGAAAATCCGGTACTAATATTTGAACATTCAAAATTATGTGAAGAGAGTAAACGTTGCTACGTTACACCAAAATTAAACTGACGTTTGAGAGCCAGTGTATCTGGTTAAAACCTCGGGAAAATACGTTTCGTCCAAAACACCGAGCTGTCACTCACCTCGTGTTTTTCCTGGAATTCAGACATGTCCATGCGGATAAAACCCTGGAATTACACGACAGTTAACTCTCCGTTACAACAGTGTGTGGTTTTCTGTTGCCCTGGTAACCAACTCACATTTCATCATTTACTTCAATAATCCCAAAAAAAACCCCAAAAATAAATGTCTCATATACAACTCTGATACCTGTGAGTAGACATTTTTCTCACTGGGAACAACTGTGTGTGTGTGAGTGTGAAAACATGACACAACATGAGTCACGGACCTTCTTCATGTCCTTGTGTAAGTAGCGGGCCACCTGTTTAGCCAGCTCCGTCTTTCCTGTGACATCAGCCATCAAACCGGACCAAAAAAAAAAAAAAAAAAAAAAAAAAAAGTACGATTTAGTCAAAACGCATTTTAACAGAACCATCTCCGACTCAAGTTCACGTAGTTACGGCAAAGAAAGACAGACAAAAACAGAACATCCGTGTATCTGTGTCTACATAAGCATGCAAATGTTTCTTCTTATTTCTTCGGGAAAAAGAGGATTCGTCTCCTCCGCGTCCTGCACAGATTTCCATCATCTGCAGGCGCACGCATTATGTTTGTCAGTAAAATATATTCTGCATATAAATGCTCATATATGATATTGATGTCCTGTGTTTGTATGCATGTGGGTATGATGTGCTTGCATATGTCGGTGTGCGCGTGTGTGTGTCTATCTTGTTGCTGCGTTTAATATTGATGTCTGATGGCCAGCGTTTGTCGCTAAAGGCAACCGAGAATATGAACACAGTGGCTCCTTCATTTATCTCCCTGCCTTGTCATTTCACCGTCTTCCTTCTTCTTATCCATCCTTCTCTGCCTCAATATTCCACTCTCACCCTGACACACTTTTTTAACTGCTGCCTTTGAACATTCAGCCAGGGTCTGGCACTTCGCGAGCACTTTCAAGATCCATTTTTAAGCCATTGACGTGGCAAGAGAAAACAGTGATGTGATGCTGTGTTGCTAAATAGGAAGAGGCAAAATCTCCCTTTTTGGATGTCCTCCACATATCCATAAATCTTTTTCAGATCATTTTCAAAGCTCAGCACACGACAGACCATTTCAACCTTCTCTCTTTAACGTCCCCAATGCTCCAGTTCAACCTACTGTCTTTTAGTCAGTGCCGCCATTTCCAAACCAACGGTCTCACTACCACCACGGAGCATCACTGTCAATGTTCTCAGTGTAGATTTACAATGCCATCTGCAACCCTGGAACCCATCTGTCACTCTGGCTGCACATCCAATCACTTCTGACCACCCTACCATACTATTGTCCCTCCTCTGGCAGCCAATCACATACTTTATCTGGATCAACCACAATGCAGCACATCCTACAACAACTATCACTCACAGTACTTTGTCCTTCTCCATGTACTCCATATACACAAATATCCTAGATTTTGGATTTGAACTAAAAGTATGTTTTGAGTAAACCGACGTTACAGATAGTTTTTTTTTTTTTACATACCAAAATTCAAGAATCGAGAGTCAAAACGTGTATTATTATTTGGGATCCTGCAACAAAGGCGCCGCTTTTAGTTGTTAAGGCGAGAGGGGTGATTTACCGACTCCTGATGATCCCAGGAAGAGGAAAACCAGGGGATGCTCTTCGTAGTACCAACCATTCTCCTTCCTCCTGATGGCTACAGAGAGAGAGAGAAAGAAAAGAAAGCCATTATTTATTTCACTCGTTAGCGTCTGTAGCCTTTGCGCTACATAAACTACAGCTGCAACCAACTAAACCGGGTTGACCCGAGGGCAAGCGGATATCCCAGAACCTATCATGGAGAAGAGAAACAGGGAGGGGGGGGGAAAGGGTCAGAGACATTTGTTGGGAAAAAAAAAAAAAAAAAAAAAAAAAAGAGATGAGAGAAAACAGAGCAAGATGAGAGACCTCCAGAAAGCTGCCCACCATCCTCCCCCCTCCTCAGTCGGTGGGGCCATTAGCCAGCAGTAATTGTGTTAGCCTCTCTGGCGCGGCCATGGTAAAATCAGTTTAGCATGGATCGCAGCCTCATGCGCGCACACACACTCAAAGAGGAGCGCCTAAGCTACACTGCCATCACCCCAGCAACCGCACTCACACACACTCACACACACACATCCACAGAGACAAGATGATGATGTGGACGGGAGATGAGGAAAATGTGCATTTGGCTGTGGTTTCAGCTCCGACGAAGAAGCCGACACGAGCACAAACCCCCGTCCGAAGATGAACCTGCTGTTGAGAGACGGGGAAGGGTGGAGGAGGAGGGAGGTGGAGGGGGCAGAACTTGGGACATTGGCAAACGGAGCCAGAAGTTGGTGTCATTCTGGCTGAGTGGTCTGTCTGACCAAGTAGGTCTGCGTCCTTACTCAGTCCAAATACTTATTATTTGAACAGCAACCTTGAAATGTTTTTTTTTTTTTTGTTTTTTTTACAGATTAGACAGTATGTGTCTGTCCATATGAACCATGTCTTCAGAATCAGGCAAATTCTGGCCAAAAAATATTACACATTTCAGGTGCAGAACACGGAAAGACGGGGCCCCCTGATGAAAGTTGCCACTGTATGTCGCCACTTTTAGAACCACCTCGGGGCCAGCTGATTCAGCAGAAAAGCTCCGGCAGAACTGGCAACCACAGCATAGTTTTCATCGGCCTGTTCCCGATGTTGACGTTTTACTTGGTATTCTGTCACATTAAAACCCATTGGATTACAATATTACATTTTTCAATATCACTCTACATTAAAATGGACGCGGGATACAAAACAATACATTGTTACCATAATGTGTGTTTTTTTTAAAAAAAAAATCTAGAATATAGTTAAATTGCAATTCTCAAGCATATTGTAATTTCCCATAAAACAACCAAAAACCTGCATATGAATCTGAACCATCTAATATTCTTATATCTATTACCAGCATATCTTTGTTACCACGCTAAACATAAAGATGCTACGGCAGATTCTGCTTCACCTCGAAACCCCCAAAACATCATCGTCATGATCGATAAAACTCGTGTTATTTTCTTTTTTTAAAAGACATATATATAAAAAATCATTTTACTACATTAACCCAAAGAAAAGCGTCCCTTCCCACCACCTTGTGCTGCACCATTCCCAGTGTTCTTTAACAATCCATCTGACTTTTGCAGCATCTTAGCAGCTTACTGGAGTTAAAAACCCTCAACAACAGACAGACACAAGTGAGTGTTAAAGCCATCTCCTAATAGCTGATAATACGGGAATCAGGATCTTGGCAGGACAGAAGAGATGCAGAGGCCAAATGAGAGCGGCCGAGAGGTAGGGAGAGAAAGAGGGAGGAACAAAAGATAAAGAAGAGGAGAGAAGAACAAGGATGCAGGAGATAAAGAGAGGGAAAGACAGAGGAGTGATGGAGATAAGAAGTCAGAGAACCGGGGGGTGGGAGACAAATGAGCGTGTCAGAGATGAACAGTGACAAGCCGGGCTCCGATGCTCTGCCCGTGTTACCAATGGCCGCGCGAAAGACAGCGTAACCTTCTGCGTTTCGGCTGATCGAGAACGACTTTGACAGAAGGGCACGCTGACATTTCTCAGAGGACTGTGACGACGACAACGACGACGGAGAACGTAAGGAGACGCCAACCGACAAATGAAAGCCTGCTCTCTCTCTCTCTCTCTCTCTCTCTTTCTAACATGCACACACACTCAGTCACTCAGAGCAGTGTGCATTGGGCAGGTCTGGTTGGCTCTAACATGATTACAGAGGGATGATTCTCTTCAATAACTCTTAGCCCTGAGAGCTAAACCTGGATCAATCTAACCTTCTTCCTGTGTCTGCGCTCGTGCGTTCGTGCGGGCGAAGTTGGTGCACATCTATTCTGTGTGTGTGTGTGTTTGCTGTGGATCAATAGGTAAAACCAACTTTTGTCACAGAACGACGGCGTGTACAATGTGTGTTTTGGCTCCAAGACAATTAAAGAACAGCTCCTGATCTGATGTTTGTCCCCAACAGATCACGTGTTGGGGTGTTACCGTTTTTTTAGTTTTTCATCCATACCAAAGTACCAAAATAACCACAATAAAGTAGCAATATACACTATATGACCAAAAGTATTGGCCCACCTGCCTTGACTCCTACTATGAACTGAAGTGCCGTCCCATTCCTAACCCAGAGTTCAATATGATGTCGGTCCACCTTTTTGCAGCTATTACAGCTTCAACTCTTCTGGGAAGACTGTCCACAAGGTTGAGGAGAGTGTTTATAGGAATTTTAGCATTCAAAGTTCCTTTCACTGGAACTAAGGGGCCAAGCCCAGCTCCTAAAAAAAAAAACCCACACCAGAATTCCTCCTCCACCAAATTTCACAGTCGGCACAACGCAGTCTGAAATGTAGCGTTCTCCTGGCAACCTCCAAACCCAGATCTGATGTCTGTCAGATCTGATGAAAATCAAATCTGATGGACGAGTGTCCATCAGATTGCCAGATGGAAAAGCGTGATTCGTCACTCCAGAGAACGCGTCTCCACTGCTCTAGAGGCCAGTGGCGGCGTGCTTTACACCGTTGCATCCGACGCTTTGCGTTGCACTTGGTGATGCGTGTCTTGGCTGCAGCTGCTCGGCCATAGAAACCCATTCCATGAAGCTCTCTGCGTACTGTACTTGGGCTAATCTGAAGGTCACGTGAAGTTTGTAGCTCTGTAGCAGTTGACTGTGCAGAAAGTCGGCGACCTCTTTGCACTTTATACACCTGTGGCCAGGCCAAGGACGATGAGGATGAGGACACCTGATTCTGATCATTTGAATGGGTGAGCGAATACTTTTGGTAATATAGTGTATATATATATATATAAAAAACTCTTTATAAGCTACTCCCATAATTTAAGTTCAACAGACGTTTTAAAATGAGTCTCCATCAAATAATAAGACACGCCACTTTCAAAAGCAATTGCTCTTTTATAAGAAGGCATTTGGCTTGGGAATTTCTATCTATACATCATGCATCATCGATGTAAATGAGTGCTTCGTATTCGACTCTGCTGTGGCACGGAGAAGGAACAGGAACAGGAACAGGAGCAGGAGCGAGAAATTCTCCGATTTCTCCTTTACTACCGACATCTATGAACTGTCCAGCAGCCTGTGGCCTGGCGGTTCAAATAATCACTCTTGTAATCTGAGACTGCCGATTCCAAGCAACAACGCAACAGAACTCACCCGCTCATGGGTTGCAGCTAACGGCGCATTCACAAATGGAGAAGAAAACTTTTTTTTTTTGACATTTGTTTTTTTTTTGTTTTTTTCCGCACATATGCACAGAGAGATCCTTTTCTACCTCTTTACTTCTTTTTGTGTGAGTATGCGTGTCTCAGTGTGTGTGTGTGTGTGTGTAGGAGAGATATATTCACTGTAATACTTCTCAGGGATCAATAAGCCGTTTCTTTATCACCGTGCTGATGTCTTCTATGGCTTTCAGGACAATTTGCCATGATAACAACAATCAGTCATCGCCCTGCCAAAGGACTACAAGTCCCATGATTCTCTCCATCTTCTTGGGGCTTTTCACGCGAAAGCGAAAGCTGCGCGGTGATGAGTGTGGATTTGTAGTCTCTCGCAGATGGCGCTTGAATATTTTTGGTCAAATATTCTACTCATTAGGGATCGATGACGACGTCTAGCTGTGGGGGCGAGGTTAGATTATTTTCAACAAATCTAACCAGAAAATGCCTGAGATCGTAAAAAAAAAAAAAAAAAAAAAAGACAAGCACTGAGGAAATTCTTTATGAATCACACACACACACACACATCTGCGGATCAATACCTGGCCTCCATGGATGCCTGCAGTAATATCAACTCTTTACTGTCTGCGCTGTTATTGTGCTCTAACTCATCCTCCCTCTTCTCTGTGTTTTGCCTTGCTCTTCTTTGTCTTTCAGTCAACCATTCCAACCCTTTTCTGCACCCCGCCTCAAATCTGTCCCCATCTTTATCACTTTTCACTCTCAACGCTACCGAGGAAAGTAGCTGGGCAGCGCAGCGTGTGGATGGGAAGATGGGGGGGAAAAATTCAAGTGAGGGGACGGGAAAGGGGACGTAAGGGTGAATGAGGAGAGGAGAGTGGCTGTGATGGAGATCAAGAGGACGTGCTGTTTAGAAAATGAAGAGGAAAGACAAGGGGGGAAAAACAGACAGAG